TATAATAAATCAGAAACAAAGAACAAAGTGAAGCATGGCAGTGTAAATGATAGTTTAAGATGTCCAACCTAACATACTCATAGATTTGCAAGTCATACGTAATACAACCATTCCAAACTCAGACTGAGAGAATCCTTATCCCGCCATACATCAAGTGTGATAGATATATTAGACTGTATGGAAAATGTGCCTTTAAAATAAGATTGTTATGGGATTCTCTATGCTGGCACAATTGCTTAAGAGCAGATAGGTTTACATTTACTCTGAGGACAAAGGTACCTTTAGAATTATTTTTCAATATACCTGGGTGTTAGAATAAATTGACTACTGGAGGTCAAGAATGCTACAGCAATGATATATTTGGTTTCAAGAGGGAGCCTGCCAGATTTATCATACTGAGAGCAACTTATCTGAAATAGCATTGATAATAGGTCTCAAAGGGAGAGGTCCCCTTGAAAGCAAGGTGCTTTGATGCTGGCTGCCTGCAGGGTGGATAAAGCATAATAGAAGGACAGGAGGTGAAGAAGTTAGAGGAGGAAAGACAATGCTCATCAATTATTTGCAAAATGTTCATGTTGCAGTTTTGTAAGTGGGAAGAATCCCAAAATTGTGATGTAATGAGACTCAAAAGAGATGCCTACTAATGACAATGGCTTGCTTGTACCCACTTCATATAGTATGGGAGGTGCAGAAGAGCTGTAAAGCTCAACTAAACAGGCAGGAGCAGATTTTCCCCATGTTAGGGATCCCCAAGTGGTATCTATCCCTCCCTGTCTCAGCTTCATCTGCTGTAGGCAGCCCTGGGAAATGAAGGAATCCTAAATGTAGCATAGTTCTAGTGCAGTGTGGGCCTTAAGTAGGGTGGCTATATGGGACAATGTGAAATCGAGGATGCTGCCTGTCCCTGTCCCACCCTCCACTGCTGCAGGCTGGAGGGAGTCAATGGACCATTAATGACCCATTGTTCTTTTCTTTGCAGGGGTTAACAATTGAGATAACAATTGGGGCTTCCCATTTCACACTCTGCCTCTGCCCCCTGTGTCTGGGACACTCATTTTAAATTTTCCCCAGGGACCAGCTTCCGAAATCCAGGACTGTCCCAGTCAATCCAGGACATATGGTCACCCTAGGCTTAGGGATACTATGGTGACTTTTAGGGTGCTTGCAAGATTGATCTAATGTTAAGAGAAGATGCTTCTCCCTCCTCTCACCAGTTCAAATGCAGACCAGGCCAGAAAGAGCAAATGTCTGTCCCACCAGTTCAGATCCAGATCAAGTTACTGTCTGTTCCCAGTTTTGTGATTTACACAAGATTGGTTGGTAGAGTTGGTTGTACTTCCTAGTGGCTGTCATCTAAACTGGCTCCATTCTGGTGCTCTGAACAGAGAGGTCAGGGACAGAATAGACATGGCAAATTAGTTACTTTCTTCCCCTATAAGTAATTGTGACTTTTGCACGTCACATTATACATAATGTAAAGGAACCACTAAATGGGATCAAATAACTATTTATGAATTACAGATAACATGCATAAGTATATACACACTGGTGCTCTGACAGGGCTCCATGGGTTCTGACAGATACACAGAAAACGTCTTGAAGGCTCACAAACCTTCCAGGGGATATCACC